CGTGATTGTGCGAATGCTACATGGAGACAGGAAAAGGGGAAGAGGTAATGTCGCCGTAGCCCCAATCAGGGAAGCATTCAGCGGATCCGTCGGCCCGGACATACCCCGGTCCGGTCGGGTTCGTGACACGGCGCTGTCTTGTTAAATGAGGTGCGGGCTTTTGTGGCGGGAGCACAATGGACGGTGATGAGTGCGAGGGGCGAGGGAGGGCGTCGCCGAAGAGGGCACACGAGGAAGACGGTGGTTATGAAAAGAGGAAGCGAGGCAAATAGTGCAGGACGCATCAGGTAGGTGGTTATGTAACTAAATGGGGTGTAGTGTTAGCAAAACAACATGTGTTTTGTTTTGTTGTCATATTCGATGCTACGAGTTAGTCTAGCTTTGTTTGGACATGTCTAGGGTGACCACACGTCCCTATTTACCCCGGGACACTCCCAGTTTTAAGCCCGGTGACCCCTGTCCCAGCAGATTCATCCAAAACCAATGATTTGTCTATACAAGAAATGTCCCTATTTTTGACAAATTTGATCCCTGCCAACATTAAAGAGGCATAACTTGTCATTTGTTTACGTAAAATACACAAAAGCTGCTTAAAAGTGACCAAAAACACAAAGAAAATGTGACTATGCTGGCACATGTTAGTCATGAATGTGCTGAATGCAGAACAATTTTCCTTAATTATGTGTTTTTGTCACATTTGTTTCACAGTTTTATTATTACCAACCACCCCAAACTGAGAGTGTCCCAGTTTTTGTTTTTTTGTTTTTGTTTGTTTTGGGTTTTTTTTTGTTTTTTTTTTGAAAATCTGATCACCCTGGACATGCTTCATCAGAGATTTAGACTTTAGAATCCTTTTAACCATTTTTACCATTGTCAAACTGCAATGGAGAAAGCTAATTTTTTGTGTTTTAAAGGGGAAAGCAAGTTTGATTATTATTAGCGATGGTACTGAAAAGGTACCCAAACTTTTTCAATTGTTTTTTCACTTTTTGAAGCACATTACTTACAATATAGTCCTACATATTTAATTCTCAGATCAGTTAAAGTTGTACTTAAGCAAAAATAATCAGCCTCTATACTGTACGCCAAGGTAAATTCTTTTGTAGTTAGAGTTTCACTGCATTTTAAGACTAAACTCACTGCTTTCACTATCAGATCAATATCGCAAGACTTGCTTAAGAATTACTTGGCACTGGATCAAAACAGGAGTCGCTGGTATCGGCCGTCACTAGAACGCCTAGAGTTACGCTAACAACTTCTAGCCTGATAATTGCTCGTCTGCAGTACTTGGCCACACACTGTATGATTAGGTGCAAATAAGAGCACACAGCAGTCAGATTCTGTCCTTAAAGGGCCTGGACCTGATCTGAATTTATTGTCTAAGGCCTAATGCTATGGTAAAAGCTGCAAAATAAGCAAAAGATGGAGACTATAAAACATAATCTATTAATTTGACATAGCATTTTCACGGGTTGTAACTTCTTGCAGGGTCACCTTTTTTAGTCCAATCAGTAGTGTTGTAGTCAAGGCCGCGCTAATCGAGACAAAGACCAGTCCGAGACCACAGGGACCCGAGACCAGGACAAGACCAAGACCTCTGAGTGTTGGGACTGAGGTGAGACCGAGGCCACGGCCCATCGAAGACCAAATCGAGACCAGCTTTGTAATTTTGAAGTCATTTTTGAACAAACATATCAGTGTTTTTAGAAATCTATCTCCATTTTATCACATGTCGAGTATCAGACCTCAAGACTGAGACAAGACTGAGTCCAAATGCAGTCAAGTCTGAAACAAGACCAAGATCTCAAAAAATCAATCTCGAGGCCAGTCTCGTGACCAAGATCGGTTTCGAGTACTGCAACACTACCAATCAGACACATTGTTACTAAGAATCATGGGAAACCAACTGCCTGACAATATCCCAGACACTTGATTCTCTGTTCTGATGCATTTAAAGATAACAACAAAGTAAACAATAAGTGGGCGGGGCTAAAGGTTCACGCTAAATCATGTTCTTGAGTTATGAAATCAGGTTCAGGCCCTTTAAAAGCAGAAATAACTTAAAAGTGCATTGTGTATCTTTTCTGGTGTATGCTTTGTCTGGAATGTTTCACAGTATGGCATTAAACCTTCCTATCTTCATGGAGACCAAACCAGACCAAGTTACAAGTTAGATCTGTGGAGAGGCGACGCCGCTCTCAGTCAGAATTCCTGTTTTTTGAGCTATAAAACCACCTGTAATTGAATGAATGTAAGGTAGAGCTGTTTAATGTCATACTATGGAACATTCCAGGCAGAATAATGGCATATCCATGGAAACAAGCAGGTGACGGAACCCACAACCAAAAAGTTACGTAATGCACCTTTAAAAGCTTAATGCAATCCAGTGATGTAATGTTAATTTCATTTTAAGAGCGGATCTCCCATTGAAACTACTCTACCAAAATGTATTTAAAAAACTAGTATAAAAGGATTACAACGTTGTCATTGAATTTCTACTGGAATCTGGTGAACGTTTTTTAGCAGACAACCAATGAAAAGATTTTTTGAACACTAGACTCACACTATGATGTTTGAATTTTTATCAGATTTAAATGGCGCAGATGTGAATAGACCTCAGCAAGGTCAAGTCCAACACGGGAAACTCCAAACTTTTATTTAAAACTGCCAGCGAAACTAAATAAAGTGGCAGATATCACATCGCTCCAGTCTCCGAAGCTACTTGTGAATGACAGCTCTTAACTGTTCTGGTGACACTGACATCACAATTAAAGTTTGACAAGTGGGGCAGACTGTACCACCACAGTAAATCCTTACACAAGCCTGGAGCATTATATCGAGAAAAGTTTAAAAAATTGAAAACAGAATTGAAACAAAAAGGGCATTTGCTGAGTACATGATTTTTGTGTTTTGAAAAGTATCCTAACTGAGCCACCAAACATGTCAGCCATTTTGTTTTTTCAAAGTTTATACTCTACCGTTTCTATTTTAATAGGTTTGGCTGTAACTGCAAATAGTTTATAACAAGTACAAGTTGTGACCAAACACGGCTACTCAAAAGGTGCATTGTGTAACTTTTCTGGTGGAGGGTCCGTCAAATGCTTTTCCCCATGGTTCTTGCTTTGTCTGGAATGTTTCACAGTGTGGTATGAAACCTTTCTTCATGAAGACCAAACCAGGTCAGATCTGTGGAGAGGTAACCCTGTTCACAGTCAGAATGCCTGTTTTTCTTGGTATTTTCGAGCTCTAAAACCATCTGTAAGGGTCATTTCACCTCAATTCACCCAAAACATTGTAAATTAAACCCTGACATTGTCCAGTTTTAAAGAAAATTTGTGTAAGGTTAAGTCCTAGAAAGCCAAAATCTCAAATTTTAGTATGATCGGAGTAACAGTTGCTGAGATATCGTAATCAAATTGCATTTACTCAGCAACTACTCGTCCGATATGAAAAATGAAGGAAATCATAAGGAATCCAAATTGTCGGGCATGTCCTTTATTGTCAGTTTCAAAGTTGAAATATATCGGTCAACAGGTCATTCATCTCAAAAGTACTCAAATGCAAAAATAAATGCCAGATTTGAATTCCTTGGATTTGGATTCCCTCTCCAGAGTTATCTTGGTTTTTGCTGAGTAAATGCAATTTGAAATGTGGCGATCATGCAAAAAAAGTGAAGAAAAATGAAATTGCAGTATCTTGGAAACCGTTGGTCCGGTCAAACAAAAATGTGAAATTTCGGCTTTTCTGGCTATGACTTACCTACATACCAAGTTTCATCAAAATTTGACAAAGTAGGGTTTAACTCGTTGGGTGAGCTGAGGTGGACTGACCTGTAATTGAATAAATGTAATGTAATGTAGAGCTGTTTATTAATGTCATACTGTGGAACATTCCAGACAGAGCAGTGACAAATCCATAGAAACAAGCAAGTGATGGACTTACAACCAAAAAGATACACAGTGCACCTTTAAAGAGTCAGTAAGCAACCTTTTTATTTTTATTTTTTTCTCTGGTGGACTGAGATGGTTTGCTTTGTCTGGAATCTTCCAACATTCCACTTATATCACATCTATAAGGAACGTCAAGTACCGTCACCTAGTTACAGGTGAGATCCGTGGAGAGACGCATCCGCTCACAATAAAAAAGGTGTTTTTCAAGGCAATTAAAACTTCACTGCAGTTTAACGTGATACTGTGGAACATTCTAGGACTAGGCAAAGCAATAACATCGCCAGAAAAATTACACATGTCATTTGAATTTAGCAAGCTACAGCGACTATTACGGGAGCTAATATCTCGACTTATGTGTGTTTGAACTCCCTAGAAACCATTGCATCAAAAATGTCTTCCATCTTCTGAGCCGAGACAGTTTCATGCAGATCAGAGAAGTCGAAATATTTATCTACAATATTGACTGATCTCATAAAGTCTTAGATGCACTTCCAAAAATCGTCTTCACCGTATTTGAAAGCTAAAGCCATCTGCACGTAGAGAAGCCATATTGGGGAAAGCTTATATTTTCTTGCCAAAGAGGGATTGTAATTCTTATTTCAAAGAGCGTAAGTTACATTTGCATACACTTTGTAGTTTTAATATTAAATCTAGGGTATCTCGCGTCGCACAAAACTAAATATCTTTGCTTTGCTTAATACGCTATCCCTTAAAAAGTGTACATTGTGCGAATACGTATGGGCATAATAATGGAAATAACCGCGTAGGAAAAGTCAGAGGGGGCGGTGGGATGAAGGAAGTGAATTGTAACTGCTTTAAATGTTTGCACACACTCACCCAAACACTCTTTCAACCGTCAACCAAGTAATTCCTATCTTTAAGCAGTTGTCATGCATTTTAACACATGCACAGGGACATGCTTTGAGACAGACAGAAGACAAACAAGAATGCACACTGGCTAAGCACGCTACTACTACAAGTGTAGGAACTCACTCCCCCTGGTAAAACCTTTACCTCTAAACTAGGCCCTAAACCGGCAAGGGTACTCACCATCTTCCGTGGGTACATAGATGTTCAAATATAGGCAATCCTCGCTCTGATCTTGGACGTAGCTGGACACGACATCCATGCTATTGGTGAACCACACGGGCAGCATCACGTCTGGTAGTCGGCCCTCCACGATGCTTTGCGGGCACACCGGGGCGAAGTGGGTGGCGTTGCGGATCTCCGGCCACGATATAGGAGGTTCCGGCGGTTGGAATCTTCGCTCGCCGGTTGGGGGCGCCGCATAAGGGACTCCCAAAAACTGCACCACGGGGCCCAGAATCTCGTTGTTGAGTTCTTTCTTGACGCCGCGGAGTCGGCCGTACGTCGTGGTGACTACCGGGTCGTTTTCGTCCAGCTTTTCGGCCAAAACGTTAACGGGGAACGCATGCAAAAGCAGAAGACCCAGCCAAAGTAAAGACAACCTCCATCCAAGGTTTAAGCATCCCCCGAGATCGATGTATCCGGTCATCGCGCTTCCGTTGGGGGTCGCCGTGAGTAGTCGCAACCCTCTCCGTGGTTCAAATCTCCACCAAGCCATCTCCGCTAATCCAATTGTTTACGTTCGTTGAGCTAGCCAAGTTGCAAATTCACTCTCTCATACCATCCAACAGCGCAAGCACACTAGAAAAACACACTCACACGCGCCAGAGCTAGCACATACTCCACAACCGACGAGAGGGACAGTCACCGTGGCTAATGATCCCGTTTAAAATCCAAACCATACGGTAGAAGTGTAGCGGCCATTAGTTTCCGTCCTGCTTGGCAATAGATGAGCAGCAAATTATTCCTTACAAAGGCCCTGCCAGAAGAGATGAAGCAGGCGACAGGGATGACTTCATCTTCAAGTGCCACAGTTCATCACGGTGACAAATCAGTGAGCGAGCAGGGATCCCGCCGTTTGGGTGAGGGCCACGGGCAGCAGCCGAGGAGGGGGAGCCATGCAGGGGTGGCCCACGGCGGAGGGGTGAGGTGCGGTCAGATGTAGCGCTCCTCCTGGAAGAAAAGAAAACACAAAGGGTCCGTGTGTTAGAGATTGACAGTGGATGGAAGGAGCGTAGACAGGAAATAGTAGAAGATATAGGCATGGATAGCAAGGAACGCTTTACATTTTTTTGAATGTCAGATAGTAATTGATACTAAACCCAGTATTGAAAATGGATCTAGTATTGACACTTTACCAAGAATCAGAAACATAATGACTTTAGTTTCCTTAATAACTCTCTCTACAATAACTAATTTCTTCAATGTAACAGAATAATGAAACCAACACCAAGTCCAGTTTCAGGTTTAATTTCGGATTTGTTGATGAATTGGCATTGTGAAGTAGGCAGGGATATGGAGCAGTGTTTTGTTTTTGTTTTTTTCTCAAGGGACAAGAAACAAAGCCATGTAAATGTAGTGAAATAATTCAATTCAATTCAAGTTTATTTATATAGCACACTTAAAACAACTTCAGCTGACCAAAGTGCTTCACATACAAGTCAACAAAATAGATGAAACAGTAACAAATACATATATACAGAAAACATGTGAAAACTACAATTAAAAAAAAAAAAAAAAAAATGCCAACATAACCTGACTAGCACGTACTAAATGCCAGGGAGAAGAGATGAGTTTTCAGTCTCGTCTTAAACTGCATGACAGACTGAGAGGATGTGACAGGAAGAGGACGGTTGTTCCACAGTCTGGGTGCTGCCACAGAAAAAGCTCTGTCACCTCTCATCTTGAGCCTAGTTTTGGGCACAACCAACAGGAGCTGGTCTGATCTCAGGGCTCTGGGCGGAGTGCAGGGCTGCAGTAACTCCCTCAAATAGACTGTACCCATAGATTGCAAACATTTGAAAACAATTAATAACATTTTAAATTGCACCCGATATAAGAGAGGGAGCCAGTGCAGGTCACACAGAAGAGGTGTGATGTTTTCACGTTTCTTAGTATTTGTCAGCAGATGAGCTGCAGCGTTCTGGATGTGTTATAAATGTTGCAGGGAGCCCTGGTCTAACCCTACATACAAAGAATTATAATAGTCCAGGCGTGATGTTACGAAAGCATGGATAGCTTTTTTGAACTCTGCCCGTGGGAGGTAGGGCTTTACTTTAGTGAGGAGCCTTAATTGAAAGAAGCTGGACTTAATCACAGAGCTCATGTGCTTGTCCAGTTTGAACATGGAGTCCACAATCACTCCAAGATTCCTCACTGCAGGGAGACAATAGGAGGACAGAGGACCAGTCGCACTGTTTTGCCCAAGCAGTGGGTTAGTTTGCCCAAACAACACAATCTCGTTTATTTTTATGATTTAGATTCAGGAAGTTTGCGCTCAGCCAGGTCTGTACGTCCCTGAGACAATCCTGCAAAGCTTTGACCGTGCTCTGGCTGTGAATTGCAGTCACTGGCAGATAAATTTGAATGTCATCTACAAAACAGTGCAAAGTGACATTCTGCTTTCTAAAAACATCACCCAGGGGGAGCATATACAGTGCAAAGAGGACTGGTGCTAATGTAGAACCCTGAGGCACACTGTACTGTAAAGGAGACGCCTAAGTCTAGTCCTAAGTTTATAGAAAAACTCCTGTCTGACAGATATGACCAGAACCAACAGAGCGCTGTGCCCTTAATGCCTACAGAAGGAGACAGAAGGATGCTATGATGCAGTCAAAAGCGGCTGTTAAGTCTAAAAGCAAAAGAACAGCGGATTTCCCAGAGTCAGCAGTTAAAAGCAGGTCATTAAAAACTTTTACAAGAGCTGTTTCAGTACTGTGCTGAGATTTAAAACCAGATTGGACTTTTTTGCCAATTTCATTAAGATTAAGGTAAGCCTGTAGTTGATCATAAGCAACCTTCTCTAAAACCTTAGATAAAAAGGGAAACTTTGACATAGGTCTAAAATTACAAAGAACATTTGGATCAAGATTAGGCTTTTTGATAAGTGGTTGGACTACAGCATGTTTCAGGGCAGTGGGAAAACAGCCAGACATCAGAGACGTGTTCACAACATAAGCAATATAAGGTCCAATAGAATCGAAAACATCCTTGAACAGACGACTTGGAATAGTATCTAGAGGACAGAAGGAAGGCTTTAGCTGTTGAACAATTTTTTTCAGGTTCAAAAGAGACACTGGTTCAAAACACTCAAAAAATGAATTACAGACTGTTGAAGCTACAATGTCCACAGCAGAAGGCACTGACAGTCTAAGAGCACAGACTTTATCCCTAAAGAATGATAAGAACTTTTCACAGAGTGTAGATGAGGGCACAACCATATTTGTCAGACATGGATTTACCAGAGACTTTAAAGTACTAAAAAGCATCTGAGGTTTGTGGCAGTTTGTTGATACCAAGTTTGATATAAAACTACATAAACTACAGCTTTAACTACCTTGTGATATTCGACCTGACTGTCTCTTAATATTTGCAGAGACCTGTAGACGGTCTTTTTTCCATTTCCTCTCAGCGCGTCTACATGTGGGCCTAGCCTCACGCGTATTTTCATTTAGCCAAGGCTGTGCCATGGGCTTTGCGCGCTTTAGCCTTAATGGAGCCACTGCATCCAAAAACTCAGTACAAGTGTCACAACAGGAGAGCAGACCATCCGGCGCAGTGTTTTGCCAGTCATCTTGGTTCATAATTCCCGAGGTACTGAACAGGCCAGAAAACAAAGAAGCAGTCATAGAATTCATTGTGCACACTCGCTGAGACGCACGGACTAACCACAGTGTGGGGCAGCGTTATAGAGAACAACACGGCAAAGTGGCCCGAAAAATGTGTTTTGTAAATCTCCATTAGATTTACATTAAGACCAAAGGACAATACCAAGTCCAGCGTGTGACCTTTTTCATGTGTTGAGCCCAACATTGACCGAGTTAAGTTAAACGCATCAATCAAATTTAAAAAGTCTTTCGCCAAAGGTCTGGATTCACAACAGACATGAATATTAAAATCACAGACAATCAAAAACTGGTCATAGCACAGTAACAGGCTAGTCAAGAGATCCGTGAAGTCCTCAATAAAATCTTTATTGAACTTTGGAGGGCGATACACCAAAGCGCACAGGACCAGCAGTATCAAGGCTCAATGGGTCTATCGGTACCTGCCGACAGACGTAGCTGGATTTGTACACTGTTGCTAACCCCCCACCTCTGCCAGACACCCGATGAGAGTTCATATAGTAGCAGTCAGGAGGTAAAAGTTCTGAGAAAGTGGAAGACTCACCAGCCTGGAGCCATGTCTCTGTGAGCAACATAAAATCCAGATTCCGCAAAGTGAAGAGATCGTTCAGAAGGCGCAGCGACCGAAGGCATCCCAAATCCACACTGCGGCGTTTTGCTATACTTGTGAAGTGGCACTACGAGCGGTAAGTGACGCAGCCCGGTGTCTTGGTGCGCGGGAGTCTCAGGCTGGATCCACCGTAATCTGTGTGATCTTTGAAGTGCTGTGTTTCCAGGAGTGGCTCTCCAGTACGCCGTCACTCTCACTAATACGCCTCCGTGTTTTCCATGCTTTCTGGGATGCTTCCTCTGTGTGGATAACTCAACACAATTTCATTTACGCACTAATCAATTTACAGATAAGGGACTCCACAATTGCAGCTTCCTCCAGTGCAAAGACACAAAGACATAAAGACAAAGGACAGGTGTGTTTGGGTTTGGGGCGGAGTGTGGCAGCTCAAAGGAGGGCACAGGGCAGGACAATGGGACGGTCCCAGACAGAAAGCAGGAGTGGGAGGAGGGATTTTCTACACGATCAATACTGAATCAATACTGAGCAATCGTGAACCTGAAAATTACATTCTAGTGTGTGTTTATTTATTTATTTTTTCCTTAGTATCAAAATTCAGTTTCCTATCAGTATTTAAAAATGACATACGCAACATAAGAGCAGCCTCATTCTCATTCTAATTAAACCCTGCTGCATCTGTAGCCTGTGTCATAGGCTCTGTCCTTGACCAGTTATAAATTCAATCATTCATTCATTGTATTTGTTTGAGCAAGGTACAACAAAATCAGAAACAATAATAAAAAAAAATATTAAAAAAAAAAACAAGGATATGTACATGTGCATATCTATTTGGGACCTTTCCAGCCAAAAACAAAACAAAAACACAAACGCTTAAGTCATCTTCTTGATTTGAGACAGTTTATTTTTCTATTTTACGAAAAGTCTTGAAACTCTTTGGATTACTAAGAAACATTATCCATTCATGTCTAAATTCTACTAGATGGACAAATACAAAGTCTATTCAAACACTTAAAACATGAATTTTGGTCATTATTACAGCTTCTTATATCAATATTAATGTTGCATTGTGTAACTTTTCTGTTAGAGGGTCAAAAGCTTTTCAACGTGGAAATGTGTTTCAAT